TTTACACTGGGTATAACTTGAAAAGTCCCCAATAAAAGTACATTTTGCATAGAGCAAGAAAGGTGTGGGGTCTCAGATCCTTGTATAAATAGGACCTCTGTTTATTTTTTTTGGATAGTGTTACTAGGCATGAGAAGTGCCTTGTGAAATATTTTCAGCCCCAATTCACCAAGAAAAATGTCAAGGATTGGTCCAGGATGATTGCTCTATGCAAAATGTACTTTTATTGGGGACTTTTCAAGTTATACCCAGTGTAAATTTATTTGCTATCATGCTATACTTCAGGCATTGTTTAAAAGTCATCCTGAGTCTCCATGGATTAATTCAAAAGGATGGTAGCATTTTTTCTTCTTGCAGAAAAGAAGGACCAATGTTGTAGATACTTGTTTACTTCCAGAAAAACTCTGGGAATTAGCTTCTACAGACATCATGCAATGTTCATTTTAACATTTCTACCTACCTTTTGTATTATACACACTACAAACAACAATAGGGAGTCATTTTACCTCATTCCAACAAATATATTGAGTATAAAATACATAAAATGGAGAATAAGTTCAAATTTACCTTTTAGAGGAAGATATAAAATTTTCTAGCCCAGAGACTTTATGATACTCATAACAATAGCAGGGAGATCCAGTGTTCAAAATATCTCTTCCTCAAGTTGTGAATTGCTTTCAGTAGGTTGCAGTCATTCAGAATTTCCCACTTTGTTACATCCCATTTTTGGCACTTGTCACAGTCAATGCCCTGCCTTATCCTGAGTTTTCAATTGTTCATCTCCAGACTTGGTATATACAATCTACACCTCCTTAGCTATATTTTATACACTAGAGCTTAGTTCTCAAAATGTTTGATTCTCATGTTATAGCACCAACTTTGTCCAAAAAATGATCAGACAATCTTTTTGCCCAGTTAGTGTAGGTCTAGCAGTCTATTGTCAGAGCCCCTTTCAAAACAGACAAAAAAGATTTTTCATTCACTCAGGATGCAGGCCACATTAACTTGAGCCAACTACTGTAAACAAATTGTCAAGAAATTTCAAATAGTTTTATGGTAACAATGTCTGAGAAATTGTAAAAATATTGTGATATTTCTTTAGATAATACTTATGTTTGTCAAAGAAAAGTCATGATAATTTTACAATTTCTTTACAGTAAGTTAGTCAAAGGTAATATGGCTTGCATCTAGTAAATAACAGCATATCAAGACATGAGCACAACATAGAATATCAGTGAGACAGAAACAAATCACTAGAAGGTGAATTAAGTACTGCTTCTTGTAAAGTCATCATCAAAATCTTTCCCTTTATGAAACAAATGTGACATTGTGGATTTAAATTTTGAAACTCTCTTTGCAAGTTTGGAAAGGGAATGGACTGAGGATAAAGACATCAGAGGGGGTTCAAATAGCAATTACCAAAGAACATACCTTTTTTCTCAGAATTCATTGTTGTATCTGGAAGAACTGCTTCAACTGGATGATTGAAAGCAACATGTGTTGAATGCAAGTTTTGTTCACCATGACCTGTGGTGCCTGCATTAAGAACTTGAATCTCCTGTGCTTCCTGGACATTGGCTGTGGTGGTAATTGTATGAGATTCTGCTGCAGGAACTCTGTCCTTTAATGTGTGGGCTTGAGTCTCCAGCTTCTCTGCCTGTGTGTATTTTCTCAAGTTTCGATATGTTGCTGCTAGATTTGCCATGGAATTGATTGTGTCTGGGTGTTCCACTCCAAGAATTCTGTTTCTTGAATCCAGAACTTGCATCTGCAGCTTCTCAGCCTCTGTGTATTTTCCCAGTGAATAATATGTTGATGCTAGATGTGCCCTTGCTCTGATTGTATCTGGGTGTTCCACTCCAAGAATTCTGTTTGTTGCATCCAGAACTTGCATTTGCAGATTCTCTGCCTCTGTGTATTTTCCCAGACAATAATAGGTGGCTGCTAGATTTGCCATTGCTCTAATTGTTTCTGGGTGGTCAACTCCAAGAATTCTGTTGATTGCATCCAGAACTTGCATCTCTAGCTTCTGTGCCTCCGTGTATTTTCCCAAGTTTCCATATGTTGCTGCTAGATTTGCCATTGCTCTAATCGTTTCTGGGTGGTCAACTCCAAGAATTCTGTTTGTTGCATCCAGAACTTGCATTTGCAGCTTCTCTGCCTTTGTGTATTTTCCCAAATTTTGATATGTTGCTGCTAGATTTGCCATTGCATTGATTGTTTCTGGGTGGTCAACTCCAAGAATTCTGTTGCTTGCATCCAGAACTTGCATCTCTAGCTTCTCTGCCTCTGTGTATTTTCCCAAGTTTCAATATGTTGATGCTAGATGTGCCCTTGCTCTGATTGTATCTGGGTGTTCCACTCCAAGAATTCTGTTTGTTGCATCCAGAACTTGCATTTGCAGATTCTCTGCCTCTGTGTATTTTCCCAGACAATAATAGGTGGCTGCTAGATTTGCCATTGCTCTAATTGTTTCTGGGTGGTCAACTCCAAGAATTCTGTTGATTGCATCCAGAACTTGCATCTCCAGCTTCTCTGCCTCTGTGTATTTTCCCAAGTTCATATGTTGCTGCTAGATTTGCCATGGCTTTGATTGTATCTGGGTGTTTCACTCCAAGAACTTCTGTTGCTTGCATCCAGAACTTGCATCTCCAGCTTCTCTGCCTCTGTGTATTTTCCCACATTGTCAATATGTTGCTGCTAGATTTGCCATTGCTCTGATTGTGTCTGGGTGTTCCACTCCAAGAATTCTGTTTCTTGCATCCAGAACTTGCAGCTCCAGCTTCTCTGCCTTTGTGTATTTTTCCAGACAAGAATATGTTGCTGCTAGATATTCCATGGCACTGATTGTGTCTGGGTGTTCAACTCCAAGAATTCTGTTGCTTGCATCCAGGACTTGCATCTCTAGCTTCTCTGCCTCTGTGTATTTTCCCAGACAGTTATATGTTGCTGCTAGATTTGCCATGGCCTTGATTGTATCTGTGTGTTCCACTCCAAGAACTTTGTTTCTTGCATCCAGAACTTGCATCTCCAGCTTCTCTGCCTCTTTGTATTTTCCCAGCATGGTATATGTTTCTGCTAGGTGGGCCATAGCTCTGATTGTGTCTGGGTGTTCCACTCCAAGAATTCTGTTCCTTACATCCAGAACCTGGATTTCCAGCTTCTCTGCCTCTGTGTATTTTCCCAGGTCTCGATTTGTTGATGCAATATTTTCCATTGCTCTGATGATATCTGGGTGTTCTGCTGCAAGAATTTTATTCCTTGTATCCAAAACTTTAATCTGCAAGATTTTCGCTTCCTTGAAGTATCCTTGGTTTCGCAAGAGATTTCCAAATTTGGCATGAGCATCATCCAAGTAACTGATGCCATTCTGGTTGCTTTCTGATCTCAAATACTGCATATTTGCCCTTACATGTGTTACCAAGACCCTGTAAAACTTATACAGTTGGCTTTCACCCCATCTCAGTGAACAAGATAAAGTAATATGTGCCATTAAGCAACATCTTTCCCTCTCATCCAAAGTCATTCTGTCTCTTCCCCAGGCATGGACCAGTGGATGCATTGAATACACACCATCAGATGATGCTTTCTTGATCAAGGAGAAGAGTAGCAACATCCGAATGCCCTCTCCAAAAAGTAAATTATCCCAAGTACCTGCCTTGTTCAAAGGAAGTAGTCTCCGATCCAGCATAGAACTGGCAAGTGGCAATTCAGGGTAAGAGGGTTTTTCATCTTTTTGAAGAGCAGCATAAATAAATATATCCTCAGTAATTCCCTCATGATGGAAGAAAGGAAATAGTTCCAGAAGGAGCATTGCACTTTTGGCTGCATTGGCCTTATGAGAATCATCAGATTTAGATCTTTGTTGAATCTCTCTGTATGATAACTCCCAAGTTTCATAGACAGTTTTGTTATACTTAGAAGCTCCAGTGAAATCACAATGGGATAATAATGTTTTTCGATGCTCATAATATTTTGCAAGATAATTTCCAATAGTGCTGGCTCCAGAAGCAATGTAAGCACCAGCCTGATCAATAGCAAGAGGAAGGTAGAAGAGCTCCTTCACAATCTTAGAAGCCTCAGTTAGAAACTCCATTGAGCATAGATCCAAGCAGCTAGCTTTTAGAAGTAATCCAATAGCATCTTTCTCTTCCATCTCAATTACTTCAAGAGAATTCTCAGGCAAAGTTAGAATTCTCATGGTGTAATTGCGACTAGTTATTAAAATATTCCCCCCCCTTCCAGGGGGAAAATAAGCCTCCAGCTCAGCAGGTGATAGGACATCAGCATTATCAAAGACCATCACATAGTTCTCTTTCAAAAACCCAATCCAGTGAAGACCAGATTCAGGTGAGCCATCCAGTCCACTAGACTGGGCTGCAGGAAGATTACAGATACCCTTGAGCCCCTGAGTGATGGTGCCAACTGAGGAAGCATCAATCCAGAAAACAGAAGAGAAACTGAAGGCAATTAAGATTTCAGAAATAAGGGTTGGATCTGCCATGACACTCACCAGCCAGACATTTCCTCAATGAACTTCAAGCAAATCTGAGTCTTTCCAATACCCCCCATTCCATACAACAGAAAGAACTTTCGCCTCAGAGCTGAGTCATGTGTGTTGGAAAAATGCCTCTTGAGGTCGGTGATGACTTGTTTGCGGCCGGTGAACCGATTGCTCGGATTTGGCATAAGGGGGATGACCCCATCGGACGTCGTCCTACCGCCATAATCGATGTGCACCTGCCCAAGATTTACACGGTCAGTTTGCTTCAACGGAACTTTTGCACCACTGGGAAGCATTCTACTCACGGAGTTAGCAGTAATATCAATGAACGTGTTGTCCCGAGCAACAAACTGGCTAGCGCCCGCAAAGCTCATGTTCAATGTCGAAGGTGGAGAGGTTCAGGATGAGGGAAGGAAGGAAAGGAGAGCGCCCAGATGCTAGGGACCCCCAATCACGGCACCGTCCACGAGGTGAACGTGTGTTTTGGTCTATTTTTATGTACCTTACGCACGCGCCTGGGCCTTTCCCCCTCCTCCTGTCTTCTCGTGTTCTTCCCTTCCAGTGTGACCCTACTTCGAGGTAAGTGGTTCGCCTTCGTTTGAATGCCTGTGTTCATACATGTAATCCCTTTTCCAGGACGGAGGTGCTGCGCGGTAGCTCAGCGGGTCGTGTTCAGGTGCCGATATGTCTGTTTCGTCGAGTCCGTGAAGATGGTCAGAGCGTCAAGTGAGTTCATCCTCTTTCCTATTATTAACCCGCGGTAGCTAGCTAACGACTGTTTACGCAGTTGGCTCTATGGAAAGCCCAGTGTATCTCCCCTTCAACTCTCAAAACCGACCGTCAATGAAAACCCAACCCTCCTCCGCGATTCTTTGTGTCCCAACCATTTTCAGCAGCGGCGTGTTGCCTCCTACCTCCTCATCTCAACTCCCCCTCTACCTATTCTCGCTGCAGAACTCCACTACCTTGTTGCCCCTTTAGCCGTCTTCCTGGATTAGGTCGATCATATGGGAAGGCCATCTAGATGCTACATGTGCACGGCCTCCTCGTTTCGGCGCGTTGTAAAAGCGACGAAGCGGGGATCTGGAAAGGACGAGGTTCTCGTCGTTGTTCAATGTCCACGAGCGAATATCGTGGACAAGATTTGGACGAGTCTTCTTCAGTGTGGGGAAAGAGGGTGACTGTTGAGCTACAAGGGTTGAGTGCTGACCGTTCACGGTACCTCAATGGCTCACACCATTTCTCTTCGAAGTTGCCTCTCCCGAAAGACAGGGTCACGGTGAACTCGCCCCCATCTTCTTGTGGTGGGGAAGATTCGATTTCTTCGCCCGCATCTGCGTCTGGAAAAGAAGGAGATTGAAGTGCACTGAGGGGCGGAGAGGATCGCGTTGAATCCATACATGCTGGGCCGGCTCAGAGATCGTGCGGAGAAAGGGCGAATCGGCGTCATTGAAAGAGGAAAGGAGGAGAGAGGCAAAGGCTGGCCGAGTCCGGTATCATACGACACTGCGTCCTGAATGGATGGGGTCGCCTCCGATGGGTTTTGGCAACGCAGTTGAGGACAGGAGTTCGCAAAGAGTGGTTGAGCTGGTGTGGTGGGGTAGTGCTGTTGCAGGCGGAACGATAAAAGACCACCATGGAGGAATCTCAAGTGCGTGAGGCCGGAGTCGGTGGAGGGGTATAGGCTAAATATCGAAGACGGTCCTCGTCCCCAATCTGGCGCCTTAGACCGCTCGGTATGCATCCTTCACAAAACCTTTACTACTTCATCTTACGCGTCTATCAAGAATCCCTGTGTTGACGCCAAAAATTCAAGCAACACCAGCTCATCCAACAACCCCACGACCCCCTCCCAAATCCTAAACCGCCCGACCTCCTCACCCACCCAAGGAACCTCGTCATTCCAATGGGTAATCACACCTGCTGCCTGTCCCTCGAACACCACCGCCCTCAGTCAAGCATCTCCACTCCACACGGCACTAATCATACCCTCGTCCATGCCACTCCATACTTCGTCCAGAACCAGCAAGGGAGGCCGAGATACTAGTGCACGGATGAGGAGTACAATACGCTGTTCGCCTGGCCAGAGGGATTCGAACCGACGTGCCGCGAATTCTTTTTCCAGCTCCGGCGTTCCTGGCGTGGACCAGGCTCGTGGGCCAAGGGAGAAGAGGACCTCCCAGCACCGAGCGATTTGCCATTTCTCCACTTCCCTCCTCCTCTCCTACCTCTCCACCCCAGTCGGTTCGCTCCCCATCTCAACCTCAAATCCGAGCTCATCCTCCCACACACGTATCTCACCCACCCTCTCACTCCCTCGAAGCGGAACAAAACCCCCCTCCAAAGCCTGTAACGACCGCCTCCCAAACCGTCGTGCCTGGACGACGACGCGAGGAAGCGTCGAATAGTTTCGGATTAGCGTGCGTAGGTGAGGTGTTGGTGTACGTTTTCGTGGGTTGTGATATTGAAGAAGAGGGAGATGATGACGTGGCAGGAGGTAGGGAGGGCAGCGCCTGCGTATACGATTGTGGGTGGTCGCCTCAGTGTTAAGAGGGAGAGGAGTGTCGATTTTTCCTGAGCCTGTAATGGAGGGGGTTAGTTACGGCAGGCCTGAAGATAGAAAGGAGGGAGCTGGATATGAATGTATGCGCGAAAAGACGGCTATAATGGGCTAAAGGATGAGTAGGAGCAAGTCGACGAAGAAATTGAATTGAAGCCCGCAACATGGTCAAGGGCAATGCAAAGTTGAACCAAAGTTGAACGAAGGAAATGCTTCATCTAAGTACAGGAGGCTGATGGACGGCTTGGCGAATCGAAGGAAGCCAGGCAGCGAGCTCGTGTTCTTGAGAAGGATAAGGAGGCATTCGTGGCTGAGCTACGTCCTCTGAGGGCATGCTATGATCTCCTCACGCAGGAGAAGGCGGAGCAGGACGAGTGAGCGACCTCGAGTGGGCGTCTGCAGAAATGAGGGAACGATTGGCACAACTACGAGAAGACGTCCTTCGCACGAGTAAGAGGCTTGTAGAGCCTAGGTGCGGAATGGCGAGACAGAGAAGACAGCAGAGCTGACTGACCAAATATTGCGACGACTGCACGCTGCATTCGGGTCAACAGTCGGATGTCATGAACAGCTCCAATCGCACCTGGACCAGCTGCAGAGTCGTCAAGTTGACGATAGACAGAGATCCTCCCATGGCACGCTGTGGACTCCACCACCTGGCTGAAAAACACGAGCGTCGCGGTCCGCATCGTCAATACAAGAACTTTAGTGATAGGTCTGCCACGGTCGAGGGACATAATTTGAATTCAGAGGCTCTTCTAGTAGAAATGAAGGCGTATCTAGAAGATGACATGGTATCGGAAAGTGAATGTATGCAGTATCTATGCCTGAGTCCAACATCAACGAGAGACTTGATATGATAATTGCTTGTACTACGAAATGGGATTGGGCTAGTAGGGTGGAAACGCCTGGAAGAAATAAGAAGACAGTTGACCACGTAGAGGCAATTTCAAATAGTAGGTAGAGGTCAGGGCGAGGCCCAGATCGACATTGATTCTACTCTTTGCTCGACTTGAGACATCGCAAAGGACGGAGTGGGTCGTCGATGAGAAGGTTATCAAGCGTCTCTGGGGTCCGGTGGAAAAGGATAGCCAAACAACCACGCTGGGCGCACCCTATCAGACGATCGATATATGTGAGCTGGCGAAGACCGAATCCACGAGCTTGGTACTTGTTGTACCTTCTTCGCGAGTCGACGCACGAAGGGGTGCAAGCGGGCAAGTTGTGCGAATCATGGTGATGGGCGAAAGACAGTGCGATCACTAGCTGGGGATTGCACTGGTGTTGTGGTACTAGAACCTAAGTAACGAAGGGGGTCGGTCAGCCAGGCAAAAGACCAGATAGATGCAAGGTGACGAGGAATTCAGAAGCCGGTGAAGGGAGAACGGTATACCGAATGAATAAGTAATGCAAGGCTGATGACTTACCGAAGCAGTTTTCCCCACTCTCCAGCTCTCCGACTCAACTTGCGCTTATGATCAGCGACGGCAGTGCTCTATGTGAGGGACTTGCCGTGGCTGCTGGCGAAGAGGTGATGCTGGATCCACGAGCTCTGTAGAGGCGCCTTAGCTGGGCAGATTCCACCATGGCAATATCCCCTTCGCGGGCCGATGCACGAAGGGGTGCAAATGGTGGACGCGAAAGACGATGCAATCATGGAAGTCGGGAGAGTTGGGGTTTGCCAGTGTTGTGGAATCAGAACCTGAGTAACAGACGACGGCAGTCAGCCGAGCGCAAAAGGTCAAATGGATGCAAGGTGGTACGGGGATTCGGAAGCCAAAGCAGGGAGAAAAGCACAAAGGAGGGGATGACTAACTCACCGAAGTCAAAAATGTCCGTTCTCCCCTGCCCAGCGAGCTGGCGTCACTTCCTTCTGAACAACGTGAACCAGGCGGACCACCATGGCTTGTGGAGCTTCTTGAGAGCGTATTGGCGTCGTCGAGCTAGGCATGGTTAAAGACGCTAGCCAGGTCACTGCAATGGAAAGGATGTTAGTTAGGCCAGGCGCTGTCGACCACAGAAAACTGTGTCGGAAAAATCCGTGATGCCTTATAATAGTAATGTGATTACAAGGCTGGCGGGAGCTATTGTAGTCACGTTATAATGAATCACGTTGCGTGATAAGATCAATATTTGTCTTCTAATCAAAGCGCTGAAAGCGCGTAAACACTGTCGGATAGGCACAGGAGTGTTGGGAACAGATGGACATGCTACGGAAAGGTGGCGCTTCGCGTTTACGAGCTGGGACAGGCTCCTAAGGAGTGGGAAAGGCGACGCAAAGTGAGTAGTTACGCTGCTTTGCTCATCCTGCACAATACTAACGCCTGTGATTGTTTTCAAGCGCATTGTTGACGTGTTGGCAGTTTCACGCAATGTGAGTATCATATTCTCTTCCACACAAGTTTTTAGCTAACAAAACTACTATATTTCCTTTTACTACCTACGACGAACTGAAATGACACCCGAGAAGACAATTACACATACACAAAGACTTCACATTTAAACCTAACATGTACACGCTGCCAGGAGGGCACGGGAGTTGCGGGGAACGGATGAATACTCCACAGAAAGGCTGCATTTTGCATGACGAAGCTGGGAGAGGTCGTGAGCTGTGGAAATGCGATGAAAGGTGAGTACCTACCTTGCATTTGATGTCATGCACGACACTAACCAGCGTGGTCATTTCAAAGCACTTGGCACTTTTCATGGAGCATTCTGCATTACTTATGCTGGTTCTGCGGATGAAGATACATCGTCTCGATGCTGGAAATGAGCAACAGCGATGTTTTGAAGTTTTGGAGGGATAAATGGAGTCCGGGGGATGCCAAACAATAAGTATGTCAGTTTGACTCTGTAGATTATTGTCACGCTAACATATTTTCGTAGATTCAACTTCTCTGTTTCACAACACTTCCAAAGACGAGATAGAACACCTACCTGAAGACTGTAAGTCAAGATGTTGACAACAAATGAAAGCACTAATGAAATACTTTTGCAGCCTAACCAAGATACCCGACGACAATATGTTGGGTCAATGGCATGAGGGACATCTACAGAACATGTTGATGTCTGCGACAGCTGGAACGACGAGGTATACACATGTCCGATGTATGTATACAACAACAAAGGAAACCACGAAGGCCAGCAAGTAAGTACACTTCCAGCTAACTGCATAATCGTAGACCACATCTGTTTTTTACTTTGTG